GGGGAACTTGGTGGAGGGTGGTGTTGGTCTGTTGCAAATAGCCAGGAGAGGAGATTAACAAATCAGTGAAGGGTGGGTGACATTTTTAGCTGAGGACAGTCCTGTTCAGTTGGCTTGTAATTGCAGGCTCGTTAAGTTGTCACTGGAGGGAATTGATCTTATGGAAGATGGACTTAACTCAGGCCTCTTCAGAATGGACAAGTGAACCTGGAGAAAGATAGTCAAATCTGTGCAGACATTTAAAGTCCACGTTAACGTGCTGTGTCACTGAGCCAAAGACAGGACAAGTAGGCAGCACTTCTTGAGGACAGAGGAGTGGCTTTTAAGGTTCTCCCAGAATGAATCCCAGGGAACCGGGATGGCCAGTTGTCCAACTGTGATTTTGCTCTTTGGACGGTGTATCCACCAAGGATATTGGCCGTTTATAGGTTTTCATTTCTCTTTAATACATGTCAGGTGATGAGGACGTGGGCATAAACGTTTGACACCTTTCCGATGTGACTTTGGGTACCTGCCTATAAGCGCGGTCACAACTACAGCTGCGTAATACATCTTGCCGCCCATCCCGCTCCCCGGCTCCGTGAACATGGCAGAGTGGTTCCTTATTGAGCTGTCTGTCTCCTCTGTGACATCATAACCAAACAAAAGACTGGGGCCTATTAGCTCGGCTTTTTCTTTTCCATCCTTCTCTTCGAATGATGATGACTGATAGTGGACCCAGTTACGTTTGCAGATGATTTACACGTAGGGCTGTCAGTACAAGCCTTGTAATCCCCGCTGTGTGATCTAGAGAAGAAATTTACATTCTTTCCAAATTGTTTTGATACACTTATGTGGGAAAATGATGTACGTTTGGATATGTATTTCCTCTCTGAATCATCATGGCTAGAGATGAAAATTTGTAGACATGGAATGAGTTTTCTGTATTTGAACTGTATGGTCCCCTATATTCTCCTCAGCTTTTTAAAGTCATCACTGGAGTGCTACCTCCAGAGTGCCCCAAAGCATCCACCACTGCCTGTTCTTCGGAAACTGTGAGTGTCCAATTTGGAGAAGGCTGCTGGCTGTTGAGGCATTCTCTGGCACATCTCTGGTTGGCTGATGTGAACTTAGCACCCAAGACTTGGCAGACAGTAACTAACCACGATCACGTCCATTTCTGCAACACTCATGGAGGAATTTACACCTATACTAGTGGCATACGTTATTTCATTTAGTTTTCCCAACAAACATAATTAGATTTTATCACCTGTATTAAAAAGGAAACTGTCAAAGTGACTGACCTGCAGACTTTGGACTGGAACATGGGTCTTTCTGATCCCTGTCTCTGTTCCCTCCCCGGCCTATCCTTCCAAATGGCCAGGAGAATCTTCCTCAGTCTTGAGTTTCCCGCTGATGTTACCACTCTCTTTATTTCTGGAGAGGAAAACAAGTCTAAACTTCCTTTCCAGTTGGAAATGGAATGGAGAGTTAACGTTGGAAGCTGGGAGAGTCTCTCCTGCGATGAAGTGGTCTCTGAGCCACTTCCACTGGGATGTCACGTCACTGTCTGGGCCCCTTGCTCAGCCTGTGCACAGGTGACAGGGCAGATGTGCCAGGCAGTCCTCCCAGACAGGGCAGTGGGTTGCAAATGAGTTTGGGGATTTGGTTTCATTACATAGCTTCCTGAGGGTCTTGGCCTGGCACTTCAAGTGGGAGCATTCCCTGTCCCACAGACTGTGTTCTGGGCCCGTGCAGAACTGACG